TTCTTACTTACCTCGCCGAGCGTCGCGTCACTGCTGCTCCGGTGTGCGGCGCTCCGAGCGGGGTCATCTGGCAGTCTCCGGCCACCTAAATTAGGACCCGGAGACTGCCAGATGACCCCGCTCGGAGCGCCGCACACCGGAGCAGCAGTGGCGCGACGCTCGGCGAGGTAAGTAAGATCACACATGGCGCTGACTCGAGTATAAGCCGAGGGGGGGGCACTTTTCACCCAAAAAAATGGGCTGAAAATCTCGGCTTATACTCGAGTATATACGGTATATTTAAAGTGTTTGGTTGTTGCAGTAATCTTCAAACTTTGCCTATGTGTACAACTTCGCCACCCCTCACCAGGTCATTCGCAGGGAAAGGACTCCTCTGCAAAGCCTGTGAACCGCAGTCAGTAGTCACAATGGATGTTGCAGTCTATATCCCTTGATGCTGATTGGTTGGCTTCACGATTGAGCCCTCCCTGTATAAGCTCCGCCTCTAACTTTGCCTATGTGTACAACTTCGCCACCCCTCACTAGGCCATTACCAAGGAAAAGACTCCTCAGTAATGCCTGTGAACAGCAGTCAGAAGTCACAATGGATGTTGTAGTCTATATCTCTTAATGGTGATTAGTTGGCTTCACGATTGAGCCCTCCCTGTATAAGCTCCGTCTCTAACTGCTTGGGCTTTCTTGCTTACCAATAGTGAGCTGTGGGAGACGTTAGGCCAAGCCCAGATTTCCCTTCTGAAGTCAGTGTTTGCATTAGACAGTGTCAGGAGGTTCAGGTTTATACGGTCTTTACAACTATGTTGTGTAATTTGATCTCCTGTAGTTTGGTTCTGTTAACAACATACACCACTGAAATATTCAGGAGGATGCACCAGCATGTCTCTTGCTCATAAAGCCACATATGGGTTTTCAGTTAGACAATCAAAAGTGGGTGCTTACTTATTATGACTAGAACCCCTAGCAATCAAACTGTAATAAAAGTAACCAACATGTTTCCTTGTAAAATACAAATCTTATGTAAGCATGTATGAAAATGTTATTTAAAACTATTTAAACTACATTTGACCAAAAACTGTAGTTTCCCTTTAATGTTGTCCTTGGTCTGTTGCTAATGCATTTTAATAGTAGCTCTTACTACTAAAGCCTGGAGCTCAGCTTCAAGCTATTCATAGCTGGGTATTTTAGTATTTTATTCATGTTATAATGAAGTTAACATTTTAATGAATCTGGAGAACTGTGGAGTACTGACAACTCTTGTGCTGCAAAAACTAAAGTGTTTGGGAGTATTCATCCAAACAATAGTCTAGTAATTACAAAACCTCCCACTTTAAAATTGGAAATGCGGCTGAGAAGTAGGAGGGTGAGTTTGGTTGAAGGTTTAATTACTTACGTTTACATTGCTTTAGGATGAATATTGCACATCACCAGCCCACACAATGAACACATATGGCTTACTCATTAATGTCCACAAGCTGTAGATGCACATCCTAATAAGGTCTAAATTAAAGCGGAACTCCAGTTTAGAAAAAACTGTAGCCCAGCAGCATTAAAAAAAGGGCATTGTTTATTGCAATACTCACTTTCAGTTCGGTGCTGTCTCCTCAGAAGGTCTACTTCTCCACCACATCTTCCGGGTTATTGATCCAGGTCCTCTTCCTGAATCATTAACTGTCAGCACCATTTATCCCATTAGCATGTAAGAAAGATAGCACTGCTCCTTCCCAGTATTTATAAATTACCCAGTACAGAGAGAATTCAGGTGCTTGCTCGAGGAGCTTGTCCACACTCCCAGTATATTCAGTCTGTAAATCCCAAAGAGCCACACTCTGATGCCATAACTTCAATGAAAACAACTTTATTGGCTCCAACAGGATACAGCTCAGTCTCTATTAAAGTCTGCCCCACTCTAACATGTTTCACCACAAACGGGCTTAATTATAGAGGTCGAACTCTACGATTAAAGGAGAACTATGGGGTTAGGGCTTTTCCCCATAGTTCTCCTTAGGGTAACGGGAGGACACAAACTAGCGTCCTCCCGTCACCCTAAGCTCAGTATACCGCGAGCCACAGCTCGCGGTATACTGAGACGCCGCAGTATAACGTGAGCTGCCGCAGCGGATCCCGCCAATTATGTCTGGATCCGCCCAGCTGCGTGAGTGACAGCTGGCTATGCCTATCTAGAGGCAGAGCCAGCTGTACCCGCCCCCTCCACCGTCCGTTCCGCCAGTCAGCGCTGGAGGATCGGAGCGGGGAGTGGAGAATCCAGCCACTCCCACTGAGAAGTGAGCGAACGTCGGTATGTGATCGCTCACTTCCCGATCTACTGAGCCGACCTGTGACAATTTAATTGTCACAGGTCAGCTAGAACTGTGAGGATGAGTCAAAAATTATTTGTGAAAAATGTTAGAGCAGAGCAGACCTTCAGAGGACCTAAGCAGTATCTTGTTGGAGTCAATAAAGTTGTTCTTGCAATTGTGGCATCATAGTGCGGCTCTATTAGATATCATTCTTCCCATGTTCTTTGAGCTGATGTGGACACCTTGTGGGGGGTATGTCATCACATCCACATATCTACCTGGGCTCACAATATTGCTGCACTGAACGATGCTCACACACCATTACATACAGGAGTAAGAACCATCCATCATCACCATAAGCAAAGAGGATGGATCTGGGATGTAATCAAACTTGACTGAAGACCCTTTGGTGAAAATAGGCATGTATACTTATTTTTTTTTTAACTACAGAGGAGACACTTAAAACTGAAGTTGGTCTTTAAACAATAGATTCTTCCAAACTGACCAATAGCATAACCCCATTACAATTTCATAAAATGTTCACTTAATCCTTATGTTACACTGTCATACACATGATAGAAAAAAAAGAGGACCTGTGTATAACCCTCATCTAATGGGATATACACAGACATGTAAAACAACCATCAAGCATCCCCAGGAATTGATTACAGTAAGCCTGTGGTAACTATACATGGCCTGATCTTTGCCAGGGATGCACCCAGGGAGGAACTTGGGAAATACTCAGACCTTCATATTTGGAACAAGTGAGATTAAAACTCCTTTATTAGATAATACATAAAGGCAAGCAGGAATGGTAAACAGTAATAGTGTGCACATTTCAGACACATTAATATGACTAAGGACCGTTGTGTGTAAAACACATAAACTATTACTGTCTTGCTGTTCCTTCTTTCTTTTATGGATTGTCTAATAAAAATGGAGTTTTCATTTCAGTACTAGTCCAGGAATACACAATATTTCACAAGCTTCTACTGGTTTTCAGGTTGACTACGTTAGACTTCTTCACCTTGCGGAGTCCCACTGATTGCAGAGTTGCAGTCATCCTGTTTTCACCTTTTTAAATAATTTTTTGTATCTCAATGCTGCTGATCTCCTCGGGTCCCTTTTCAGGCCATCATTGTTTAAGACAGGGTTACTGATAATAACATCAGTTGATCATGCCTGTGTACTGTGTCTGCTTGTAGCTTCCATCAGGGGTACATGTGTACTGTGCTTGAACAGAGGACTTAATGGCAGGATCAATAGGTATTTTTCTAAGGGAATCTGTGGATTTACAAGACTGAAAATAACTTTTGAATTGGTATTAACATGTTAAAGGTTATAGATGATTTTAGTGATTGGGTTTAGATCTACTTTAAAGTGCAACTGAAGCCAAAACTTGTTTTTTTTTAGCTGTGGATAGAGTGAAGAGGGGTTAGAACCCCATGTCAGGTTTTGATTGCTCTTTGTCCCCTCCTTAAGGAGAGTCATACTATCTAGTTGTCCTGGTGGCCATTATCACTGAAAGTAAAAGTTATAGAAAATTGCAATTTTTGGGTTGTCATCAGGTGGGAAGTCTTCCAATGGTGACAATAGTTCTGGTAACCACCAGGGATTTCACTCACTTTGGAGGTATATCCCCTCACTTCTTGTTGTGGTTATTGGACAAGGTGAAGGAAAATCACCCCAATGGAGAGTTTTGGCTTCAGTTCTACATTAAGTTAGGTGCAGAACTGTACTTCTTGTTCATGACTGATTATTTATCTACCATTTCTAAATTGTATTTTGAAATACAGTATGTAGATATTCAACCCAACGACGGTTTTGGAACGCTGCTTCCCTTGGAGACAATGACTCTGGATATCATATTTAAAGCCCCAAAAGCCGGAGAATACAGTTGTGACCTGACATGCAAATCGGCTATCAATAGGTGAGGAAGGGTAAACATATTGAAATAAGAATATTTAAACTCTTAGGTGAGCCCAATGTATCTTCACCTTTGTTGAGAAAAAAAAAACAACCCCCTTTGGGTGATCTATGCATGTTGCAAGTACTTTTTCGGTTCTGAAGAAAAAGCCGTTTGTTTCATGTCCTTTCCAGACCGTTTCCTGAATTGGAAGGGTCTGTGTTCATTATACCCACCCACTTTCAGTGTTCTTATATGGAAACCTGCAGTGTCTACATCCCTTTTGAAGTTGTTAACCCTTACAGAAATCTCCCCACAAATTAAATTTGTGTTCCATGAGGATTCTTTAAATTTTATTTTATCTTACTGCAGACTTCTGGGAAAATCTGTCAGACAATTACAGGAGTAGGAATGACATTTCCGGGGGCATTCTGTACACCAACTGTGTACAGAACACCTCCAAGTTTTCATATTGCATTTAATTTTGTGAACAGTTTTAGAAAATGACAATGGCTTCAGATTAAAATGGAAAGCTAATTTTAATAATATGAAATTACAAAATAGCTTGTGTTGCAATTTTATAAGCTATGTTATTTTTTAAATGAAAGTGGAGTTTTTGGACATTATTACTTACATGCACTGTTGTTTACTCATTTACTTCTGTCCATTCAGGCAATTCAAGGTCTCCTGTAAAGCCATAGGGGTCCACCCTCCTCTTGAACTGTCTCATTCCTTTGTCCAGTTTCCAGGAACAGCCTTAAATGATATCTCCATTGCCACCTTGTATGTCGTCAATTCCCACGTTAGTTGCAATGAATTCACTCATCCTGTACCAAGGATTGGCAAAGGAGAGATTGCACCTGTTGGACCTACATCATTTCAGTTTATGGTACCTGAGGATTCGGCCATCGCAGTATCACCAGCGGTTGGCTCTGTTTTACCTGGCAAGGTAAGGTGAATTGTATTCAATATAATGTTAAGCTAAAACCTTTTTTTTAGTTTTGGCAATAGTGAGGAGTGTCATATCCCCTGTCAAGTTTTTATTACTATCTGTCTTCCCTTGGGGGATCCACCCTCTATATCGGTCCTCATCTGTGCAGAAGGGACAAGTACACACTGCATCACACTTAAAATAATTTTTTATGAAGTGTGTCCATTTAAAGTAGGGTTGCACAGATACCAAGTACAGTACTCGGTACAAGTACGAGTACATGTACCGATACTTTAGAGCTCCAAGACTACACTAGAGAAAAATGTAAAAATTAGGAGGCAGCAGTCATTTATAAGGAGCACACGGAGCTCCTGGGATTTGTACATCTCTGTTTGAATGTACGATTTTGTTTTTATAAATATAAATAAAGGGATGCACAGATACCAGTTTTGCGAGTACGAGTACTGGTACTTGCCGAGTACTTACAAGTATGAGTACTGATACATTTTTGTTTATTGTCATGTGACAGTTTTTCTAAAACAATACAGACTAATGATTTCAGGACAGGAGTGGAGTGCCAGAGCCCGGTCCCAGCTGCAACCCTGATAGTTCTCATAAAAATGCCAAGTATCTGCACTAGTACTCGAAAAGTATCTGTGCATCCCTAATTTAAAGTCAACAATGGTATTTCTCTTTTGGGTGAGCACTGATGGGTTGAATCAACCACCAACTCCTTATATCAACCACTCAAAATATAGGAAACAGTTTTACTCTGTTCAATCTGTAAGTGCATGGGCATGTGATGTCTCCTTGTGCATTTGTTTAGAATTTAACAATAACAAGGATGATATTGATATTGATCATTCAGCTTAATCTAATGTTGCCATGAACTTGAGCAGGATATGTTATTGATCAAGGTTAAAAGTAGATCATTTAAGTGGAAATTTATAAATTTCAAATTAATAAATAATTGAAATAGCAGCCTTTTCCAGATTTACTAGTCTTTTTTTGATCCAGACATTCCATTTTCAGTATAACAGTTTGTTCTGGATCTGGCATATTTACTTTGCTTATTCTTATACAGCTCAGAGAATGATTACTTTGAGGCATTAGACACACAGACTCATACAGTAAGGGCTGGGTAAGAGTCAACTTGCTTATATTTTTCTTTTTTTCCTTATCTTTTCTCTTCCAGCGGTGCCTAATCCAGGTTTCCTTTAAACCAACCCTTCACGATAAGGAAATCAGGGAGGAAGCAATGAGGATGCTTCAACTGGCAGTGGAGACCAGATCACTACTTGATAAACAAGCTCCTGTGGCTGTGGAAAGTGAAGACCTGGTATGGCAAACCCTAATCTCCCTATGAGGCTATTGGTGCTCATGACCATAACAACGGATATGATATCATGTTTTTCCCTTTAAAGGTTAAAGTGTAAAAATCCAAATTTATTTAATTGCCTTGGCCATTCGTTATTTGGGTATTTCCTTTCTTTCAGATAACTTCTGCCCCTGGAACTAAGGTCCACCCACCAGTATCCAGTGAAAGCTTGATTTTATTTAGCTGAGAGTTTGATCCTGGGTGGGAAGGGTTTAACTGTGGGCCGTGGAGATGTTGCTCCTAGTATCAAAGCACATATAACTGGGGACACCTCCCACCCGGATCAACAGGCTGAACTTCATAGATAAAAATGATCGCATTTGAAGAGTTCAAACTGTTGTGTCTGTAAATGCTTCCTGCTGCGGCCATGGGCCTCCTTTCGTCTCGGCTGACGTGGGAAATACTTGATCATCAGGGATCATACAGGTGCCAGACAGTTGTGGATATGATATTTCGGCTGTGAAGTTGGGGGGGAGAGCTTCCATCTGGGCACCCAGACAGCAGAAAGAGCATGTCATGCCCCTCTCCTTCCAAAATTGAGGGATCCGTTTTGGGTAGGGTTGCTCTTTAAGTAAGCCTTGACCCATGATTTCGTTCCTTCTAGCTAATTACTCTTTCTATTCAGCCTTCCATAGACCATGGAAGCTGAAACACAAGTGATTTAATTTAATGATATATTATATGCAGTATATTACATAATAGCTGCTTTTACAGAAGTTCAAGGAGGTTCAATTACAGCACTAATGAATTCCTTTCTTCTACACCGTTAAAGAGCACATTTATATTGACTCTCTCTAGATTTGTTACAGTTACAGCTTTAATTTGTTGTTGCAAATACCACCAACTCATGCCAATAGGGAAAGAAAACATAGAGAGGGAAATTTACTAACAATGGAGCAGATAGAATCTGGAGCAGCTGTGCATGGCATCCAATCAGCTTCTAGCTTTAATTTCCAACGCTTAAATCCCAACTCCAGGATCAAAAAGGAAAGAAAAAACTTCTTCTGCTTCCCTAAAATGATGCATATACATAGGTGTAAAAGTAGTATACGTTTCCTTACAATTTTTCAGGGATACTAATTTAGGGCCTATTCACACGGGTGGCAAGCAGCGCTAAAAATAAGCGGTTGCTGCGCATCTTTACTGCCCCCTCCAATAGGCCACCTAAAACCAACATGGTGGCCGCTCAGGTATGTAAACATGTCACAGCCATGATGCTTTGTGTCACATCTGTGCAAAGTTTATACAGCATGTCATGTTTGGCAGGCGGTGCCAATGCAGTCAATGGGATCGCACCACAACCACATTGTGCTTGGTATTGCAATTCAAAATACCCATTGGGATAAAAACAAATACAGGCATGCAGGAGACAGCGGTATCACTGCGCTGCTTGGAATGTGGTTACCACACAGTATTACAATACTAAAACGCCACTTGGATAAGAAAAAAAAAGAAAAACAGACATGTGTCTCCTGAATGCTTGTAAACTAGCTGTCAACCGCTCTCTGAAATGTTATCCACCATGCAAAGCATTTTAGAAGGGCGGTAAAAGTCAGCTGGCCACGTAAACAAGGCCTAATTGAAAGGTATTGGTGTCTAGGATGCTACTGCAGAGATTTTCTTCTATTTCCCTAATTTTGTGGGCCAGTGATTGCTGACCAAGACTGGCTTTGTCTGTTTGCTTGTTGGCAACTTGTTTATACCTGACTAAGCCAGAGGGTTCATCCTCTGCTTGGATAGTGGGAGTGGGTATATCCCTCCTTATAGTCTTTTAGCAGTCTTTGTAATCTTTTCTCTCCTGCTATTCAGGTCATTCAGCACTTTAGCTGTTATGAGCTTACGGAAAGGTAGGGCTCTGGCTAGAACTCAGTAGCTGATTGCTGCAAGTGGTAAATATGATGCTTTTATTTGATTAGACATATTTCATATATACCTGAAAAAATTTAACTTAAAGCCCATTTCCAACTTTGCAGAGGTATTTAAAAAAAAATGTCAGCAAATTACACCGAGTTTACATGTAGCAGACATAAGCAGTTGCTGTGTATGAACACAGAAACTTGCTTTTTTGTTAGCTTTTCCTCTTCATCTCCTCGTAGCTCCTTTTAAAATGGCCGCCTCTGTGCTTTGCAAGCAGTCTGTGTAAATTACAGACTGCTGTGCACAATGGGAACTACAATATAGGGCATGGAAAACTACATTTCCCACAATATTATGCTTCCCTCATGCACAAGCTTCTCTGCGTAAACTGAGATCTCTCTTTCTGAGCTCTCTCTCCCCCCAAAGTCCATCTAAAATGTATTTGTTTAATATTTATAGTGGAAACCCCCCCCTGGACAAAGCAGAGTGACCTGGAGTTTTTCTTTAACCTGTGACTACAGTTGAGTGATTGCTGGAAAAAACACCTTTCTTCCAGTAAATGTTTCTTCCTCCAAAGCCAATGCAGAGCTGGTGTGCAGTGATCTTGTTACAAAGACTTACAGGGGAGGGATTGAGCTTCAGGTGCCTCTGATCTTCCAATAGCTGCTCTAAGTAACTTGATGATCTGTTCTGAGTACACAGGTTAAGTACCATCTATGTGAACGGGGCTGGATCAGCAGAATGAGCACATCCCAATTGTTGCTACCTAATCTCGCGGGGCTTCAGGGTAAAGCATAGAAGAGAGGAAGTACAAGACAATCCAACCCCAGTGTCAGATTGAGTTTCCTGTGGAGGGAATTTTGAATTTGTAGGACAAAAGTCCATAAAAAAGTAAAAAAATCCAGCAATAAGAGTCATGAAAATGTACACACATATACATAATCACTGCACCACTACATCACCACAATAAATGCTAATCACTTACAAAGGTGGAAATGTGCTTTAGAAACAATTATTTTTAGCCGTACTGAGCCAGAGTGAATAGCCGAACGTCGTTCGGCTCACTTCAGCTGGGTTATTCACTCGGCTGCCTTCGGTAGCTTTGTGAATAACCCCCCTAATACTTTAAAGTCCATCTAAAATGTATTTTCAATAGAGTTGCACCGAAATAAAAAATGTCAAAAACGAAACCGAAAAAAAAATTCTAAACTTTTTTCAATGTTTTTTTAATATTTTATTTGTATTTATTTTTTTATAAACTTTTTATTTTTTTATATTTTATTTTTATTTATTTATTAATTTTTATTAAATATTTTTTACTTTACTTTAAGGGGCTTCTGGGAAATATTGGTGTCTACACAGCCCCCTGATATTTCCCTTTTAAAATTTCCCTTTTAAAATAGAAAAAGAGATTGAGAACAGAGAGTCCTCAATCTCTTTTTCTGCAGCCCCTGTTATAAATGAACAGGAAGCCTCTATACTGAATGTTCCTGTTCATTCATAACATAAGGACATAGTATGTTTACCATATACACAATCATAAATGAACAGGAGGTGATGTAGATCACTTCCCATTCATTTATAATTGAGGAAATAGTAACCATACTATGACCTCAATTATTCACAAACACTCAGCGATCACTGATCTCTGAGTGTTTGTACCTCACTCTCCATCTTGAAAGCTGTCACAGGAGGCTGAGCGAGCAGAGCTCAGTCTCCTGTGACAGCACTGCAAGCTGTCTCCGCCCACACCAATCTCCCGATCTGTGACAGGAAGCTGAGCGAGCGGTGAAGGGAGGAGAGCTCAGCCTCCTGTCTCTGCCCACAGCGCTCTCCTGATCTGTCACAGCAGGCTGAGCGGGGAGGAGAGACGCCGGCCGCTCGCAGTGCTCTCCTCCCGCAGCGCTCGGCCACCTGTGACAGTTTATCTTCTCCCTGCTGGAACACAGAGCAGTGCCCAGCGGGGAGGAGTGAAAGCACAGATGGGCCGCTATATCGGCCAGAAAATTGCACTTTCGGCATTTTGCCAAAAGTGCAATTTTTGGCTGATATGTTTTGGCGGCTGATATATCGGTGCATCCCTAGTTTTAAACATAAC